CCTTGCCTGTCTAGTTAAGCTTTGCTTATTTGCACTGTATCGCTTATATGAGACTATCTGCTGCTTGTTCATTTATCGACATATCATAGTTCAAAAATTCTCCTGGGATGGGTGAAACAAACTTTACTATTCGAGGGAGGTCCACCTGCCCTCGCATCTTTGGTCGTGCAGATGAAATTGCTACCGCGGAGGAGGAGAGATATACTGAAGAAGAGGAAAGGTTTATTCAAAACCTACCTCCTGGTCCAATGTATTGGTTGTATGGCAGACCCGTACAGAGGAGGAGACCCAAGCCGCTTTACTGGGAGGTTATCGAGGAGGTGGAAGTAGAGGGGTGTCTTCATCTCGCCTTTTAATCCAAGGGCAAGGAGAGGGTTTCCGAGGTAGAGCAGCGCCTTTCTCTTGCCTTCAAACTCGGGGACGAAGCTGGGGTCTTCGAGGTCTCCGTCGTGGCTTGGGGATTCCATCTAGACGTCCAATTCATGACTCGGTTCCCAACTCTCTTCCTTCATATTCGACCCTCGTTCCAACTTGTAGCCCCGCTCCTCTTCCTATTCTCCAAAGAGTACCCGCTCAGCCGAGTAACAGGTGTCTAGAACCTTGCTTCAATTGTGTTTACCTTAGTGCCCAGTTTGTTGAGAAGGGGAACGATTTTATGGCCAACTTAGTGTTAGGCAGTTGTTCCCACCATCCTGGTTCATCTATCCCGGCTTCAATCGTTGAATCCGATGACTCAAGTTCTTCCAATAATAACTCATTTAATTCTGGTAAGTATTCTCTTTTCTACGTACTATTTCTTGCTTTTTAATCCTCCCATTTTGTTGTTCTAGGTATTTATGGAGTCCCCTTCTGCAGAGTTAAACGTGGAGGTTGCTTCCTCCAGCCACGGCCAAGAGGTCGAGATGAATCCAGCTGAGAAAGGTTATGCCCCTGTTAGCAACGACCTTCGAAAGCAATATTCGTAGGTCACATAAGAGGTTCTAAGCTTTAAGTCCGACATGTCTACTGAAGAGATATTTGGGCTTCCTATCGGCAACCCTGTTGGGTTTAATATGTTCACTCCTGCAGATGACGAGCCTGTTTGCTCAGGACGGAACTCTGAAAAACCACATTCTTTCTTTTTTATCGTGACCTAGTGACGAAGATTGGAATCTGGTTTTCCTTTTCTCCTTTCAAGATACAACTTTTGAATCACCTCCTTCTAGCACCTACTCAGGTTCACCCCAATGGTTGGGCTTATATTGTTGCCTTCGAGCAATTGTGTGTATCCTTATCTTTGCCTTGCACAGTTCCTCTTTTCTTGTATTTTTTTAATATCTACACCCCTTGCACTGGTTCTGAGCCTCTAGAATTCAAAGGCTGGACTAGAATTCGAGGCCGAGCTAGTAACCCTTCAAGGAAGCTGTTTTCTGTATATAGCGACTCCTTCAAAGATTTTAAAGCTTTTTATTTCAAAGTCGTGGCCGAGGTTGGGGACAGGCCATGGTTCATTCGTGATGACGGTGAAGGAGCATTTTCCCTATACTGGTCTCGGGAGCATCATCTCCGTAAGTCGGCTGACTTCAAGCTGAGGTTATCAAAGGAGGACAAGATCAATGCCAAGGCTATTTTGGCTCATGTGAAGTCCAAAGGCCATCTGAGTGCAGCCTCCTTAGTAGCCAGATCATACTCTAACTTGGAACGAACTAGTATGCTCGCCTTATTTCACTTTTAATTCTTTTAACATCTCCCTTTCTTTTTTTCTTTTTCCTTTTTTCTTTCTTCTTTTTTTAATGTCGTCTTTTGCTTGCAGGTTCCAGCATGAATTTTGATGTGGGAGAGGAGGATCTGGACTACATCTTATCCTTGAGAGGTTCGACAACTGCCCCACTTCCACTGCCTTCTAAAAGGCCGAGGATAACTAGCCCTTCTGCGGCCACACCCTCTGCACCTGCCTTCAACCCCGGCGTTTCAATACTAGACCTTATCAATGATTCTGAAAATTTGGAGTCTGATGTTAACCCGGCTTCTCCGACCTCTGGTTGTGGAGGTAATACTCGTGTCGTGGTCTCCATCCCTCGGGGTGCACCGACCCCAGCGGCCCTTCCAATTGGACTTAGGAGGGGTGCGTTATGGGAAGCAGGGGTCTCTTCCGAGCTCCGAGGTGTCGTTCGCCCTCCGGCTTCCTTTTCTGGTTCTGGAATTATATCCCGCGCCGAGATGGAAGAACTTCATAAGGCTGAGCTGTATACTTTTAAAGCGGCATCATTGCTGAAGCTGTACTCACTGTTGCTAGACAAGCATTCTGAAGTAGTCGCTGAATTGGACGCTCTTCGAGTTAACTATCACAAGGCAACTTAAGACAACAGGGATTTAGCCAGCTCTGCTGCCGAGTTGAAGTCTTCTTTGGAAAAATCTCAAGCTGACATGAAATACATTTCTGACTCGTTCAATCTGACTGCCGACAAGGAAAGTATCATTAACCATAACAAAGAATTATCCACTACGCTTATGGAGGGGGAGTCCCAAGTTACGGTGTTGACTGCAGAAAATGCTAAATTGAAATCCGACCTGCAAAATATACAAGCCGCTTACGAGTTCAGTCAGGCCACCATGGAGAAAGTTGTCGGTGGATCCTTTAGGAATGCTGTCAACCAAATGCGGTTCTTTAACCCTGATGTTACTTTGAAGACGGACCAGTTGGATTGCTTCGGGTATATCCGGGGTGGTACTTTTGTTCCCCCCCTTTCAATTAATCAGAATATGCTGGAGGCTGAGACTTCAAATGTAGAAATCACTCCTGAGGTGGTGGCTGCTGGCCAAGAATTTGAAGCAGATATGCGAGAGATAATGCACAATGATATCCAAGAATGAAGAGTCGGGATGTTAGTTTACTTTATAATTTCCTGTTGTTCCTTTCAATTATCTTGGAAATTTTGAACTGTTTTTTGAACACCTTATAATCTGCCATACGATGTCTAATTTGGATGTGATGTTGTGTCACAGCTAATGTTTTAGAGGTCAACTCGTCTTGATTTTTTCTAATATCTGTCGCTTTAGGTTATGGTTCTTGCTTCTTTCTGCAAGAACTTTTTTAGAAATTAAGGGTGTCCCCTTATTTTCCAATATGTTATACCCCGGCTAGAGTTTCGTCTTTGTAAGACGTTTTTCCAACGCCTCAATGGGTATTCATTTCCTGGCTAGCACTCACCTCCTTGCTCATTTTGGCAAGGCAAGTGTTAATACCTCGGATTTGATTCTCGACTAAAACTCATTATCCTTTCCCATTAGGAAGGCAGGTTTCAACATCACAGAGTTGTTGTCGGGCTAGAACTCACGATCTTACCCTTGGGCAAGACGAGTTCCAATTCCTCGGTTTTTATGCCGGGCTGGAACTCACGATCTTGTCCTTGGGCAAGACGGGTTCCAATACATCGGCTTTAATACCAGCTAAAACTCACATTCTTGCCTTTGGGCAAGACGGGTTCCAACACTTCGGGCTAGAACTAAAACACATTCCTGGAAGAGATGCTTGCTTTATTCAATTTATTTATAACTTGAAATTCCAGCTACAAAAAGGAAACGTAAAATTTGTTCTTTTCAATTAAAGTATTTCTTCAGCTTGTCCGCATTCCATGTCCTCCTGACACTTTTCCCTTGCGGAGTTTCCAGTATATAAGCTCCTTTTGATAGTTTTTCTTTAATTCTGAATGGTCCTTACCATTTTGGAGCCAACTTTCCTTCAGCCGCGCTTTATCCTCCAACGTCACTCTTCGGAGAACTGAATCTCCAACTGCAAACGATCTAGGCTTCACCTTCTTATTGAACCGGTTAGCAACAAGCTGCTTTGCTGCGAAATTTTTGCAGTGAGCCATAACCCTAGCATCATCTATCAAATCCAGCTCCACCGCTAGTTTTTTACTATTCTCTTCTTCAGCTTGTGACTGGGCTTGGACTCTCATCCATGACGGCTCTCCCAATTCCACCGGGATCATGGCCTCACACCCATAGGTTAACCTAAATGGGCTTTCTCCAGTAGACGTCTGCATCATGATTCTATACCCCCAGAGTACATACCACAGCTCTTCTACCCACTTCCCTTTAGCAGATTGCTCTATTCTCTTTCTTAGTCCTTCTATGATGACTTGATTTGCTGCTTCTGCTTGTCCGTTAGTCTGAGGATACTCTACGGATGCAAAGCGATGCCGGATATGAAGGTTTGCCATTAATTCCTGGAAGGCTTTGCTCGTGAACTGGGTTCCGTTGTCAGTAATTACCTCGGCTGGAATCCCAAACCTGCAAATCAAGTTTCTCTCAAAAAAATGTTGAACCCTAGCCGAAGTGATCGTTGCAACTGGCTCTGCTTCTATCCACTTAGTAAAGTAATCAACGGCTACTATTAACACCTTTAATTGTCCTTCAGCTGCTGCAAATGGGCCCAGAAGATCCATTTCCCATTTAAAGAACGGCCATGGAGCCGTGATTAGGCTTAATTCTTCTGGGGGGCTAGCAGATTCTTTCTATGTTTGTGGCATTGGTCACACTTCTGCACATGTTCTTTTACATCATTACCCATGGATGGCCAGAAGTACCCGACTCTAACCGCTTTTCGAGCTAAAGCATTTCCTCCAATACGTTGGCCATTGATCCCTTCGTGGATTTCAGTCAGGCCATATCTTGCTCTATCTGAGCTTAAGCACTTCAGCAAAGGTGAATAAATACTTTTTTTTGTAAAGTTGTCCTTCCACCATGGTATATGATGCTGCATTTTTAACTAACTTCCTAGCTTCCTTCTTTCCGACGGGCAACGTCCCATTTTCCAGATAATCGATGATAAGGTACCACCAGTCATCTTCTTCTGATATTTGCAAGATACATGTGGGTTCTGGGATACTTTGTTCAACCACCGTCCTATGGTTTCTCCACCCTTTGGTGCTTGCTAGTTTGGATAATATGTCAGCCCTGCTGTTTTCATTTCTTGGAATATGACTGACCTCCACCTTCTCAAACTCTGCTATTAGCTACCTCGTAGAGTCCAGATATTTTGTCAACAATGGTCCCCTAACTTGATAACTTTCTTCGATTTGGGAGGTGACCAATTGAGAATCACTGTAAACCTGCAGCTTCCGTACTCCGAGTTCCTTAGCCTGCTGGAGGCCAGCTATAAAGGCCTCGTACTCCGCCTGGTTGTTTGATGTTTCAAAATTCATTTGCATGGAGTACTCAATCGCTATTCCTTCTGGGTTTTCGATGATAACCCCGGCCCCACTGCCTTTGGAGTTATAGGATCTGTCCACGTATACTTTCCAAGTGTCCGAGCTGTTTGAACTCTCCATTTGGATTGAAGTAAGCTCCCTAGTAAAATCTGTCAATGCTTGGGATTTGATTGCTTTACGACTTTCGAATACTATATCAAATTCTGACAGTTCCCCAACCCAAGCCATCATTATTCCTGCCAAATCGGGCTTTTGAAGGACCTGTCGAATTGGCAAGTCCGATCTGACCACAATTTGGTGTTCCTTGAGAATATACTCTGAGTCGTCTAGCCGAGATTAGCTAGGCGAAAGCCACCTTCTCCAGCTTATGGTATCTGAGTTATGCTCCCTGTAGGAGACGACTCACAAAGTAGATCGGTTGCTGCCCCTCCTCGTTTTCTTGTACTAGAACCGAGCTGACAGCTACATCTCCCACAGAAAGGTACATTATCAATGCCTCCCCTTCTCTTGGTCTGGTTAAAACTGGTGGTGAATCCAGCTGCTTCTTAATCTCCTGGAATGCGGCTTCACATTCCGAAGTCCTTCCATATTGCACCTCTTTTTGAAGTAGCTTGAAGAAAGTTAATGTCGTTTCTGCAGACCGAGGTAAAAATCTAGTGAGGGAGGCTAACCTTCCTGTCAGCTGCTGCATCTCTTTTTTATTCATCGGGGTTCTCATCTCCAACACGGCTCTACATTTATCTGGATTGGTTTCAATGCCCCTGTTAGTCAGCATAAATCCAAGAAATTTCCCTACAAGGACTCCAAAAACACATTTGGTCGGGTTTAACCGAATGTTATATTGTCTTAATTTTTCAAAGGTTGCCTTCAAATCTTTAAAATGAGCCTTAAAGTCTGATGACTTAAATATCATGTCATCTATATACACTTCCACGCTTTTGCCAAGTTGGTCGGCAAATACTTGATTCATCATTCTCTGGTAAATGGACCCTGAGTTTTTCAACCCAAAAGGCATCACATTGTAGCAATAATTCGCCGTCTCTGCTATGAAGGCTGTCTTTTCTTGGTCTTCCGGATGCAGTGGAATTTGGTTATACCCCGAATAGGCATCCATGAATGACAACGTCTGGAACCCGGAAGAGCTATCAACCAATTGGTCTATGTTAGGCATCGGGCATGCATCCTTAGGGCACACTTTATTTAAATCAGTGTAATCTGTGCACATCCTCCATTTTCCATTTGGCTTCTTAACCATTACCACATTAGAAAGCCAAGTAGTGTACTGTATCTCCCTGATGAAACCTGCTTCCAACAGTTCCTTCACATGATCTTCCAACACCTGCCGACGTCCCGGGCTAAGCTTCCTTTTCTTCTGAGCTACCGGCTTAGATCCTGGGTATACTACGAGTTTGTGACAACAGAAAGCAGAGTTTACCCCAGGAATTTTTGAGGACTTCCAAGCGAAAACGTCCTTACTTTCTCTTAGACAAGCGGTAAGTTGAACTTTCACCTTGTCTGTCAACCCCTTACCGATCCTTGCACTTTGTCCCTGCTCTCCAATGGTCACTTCTTCCAATTCTCCATCGGATTCAGGCCTTGGCATCTGAGTATCATCCCTCGTGTCCAATTCCACCATGTTGACCGGAGTCTTTTTCTCCTGGCTCGAGCCGCCCTGACTGTTACCACTTTTCATCCCGGCTGAAAGTTTGGGATCACTTTCCACTGCCCTAACTGATTTGAAATAACAGTCTCGAGACTCTTTCTGGTCCCCAGCAATGGTGATTACTGTGTTCTGCTTACCAATCATCTTAAGTTTTGATATTTGGTGGAAACCAACATATCCCAATTGTGGATGGTCGGTCTTCCCAATATCACATTATATTCCAAAGGGAAGTCGGCTACAATGAACCTTACCCTTTCAGAAATGTATGCCTCCTTGATGCCCAAAGTGAGCCTGAGATCAATATACCCTTTGGGGATGGTGTTACGGCCATTGAATGCAATCAAATCCGTGTTGCAGGGTTTCAAATCTTCTTCGTCTAGATTCATTTTTTGGAATGCCTGCCATAGGATTATGTCGGCACAGCTGCCATTATCTACAAATATTTTTTTGACTTTGCAGTTGACTAGCGTTCCTGTAATAACTAATCTGTCAACATGTCCTAGCATTACATCCTTCAACTCTTTCTTGGTGAAGTATAGTAGGGGCAGCTCTGGTTCGACTTCTTTAAACTTAGGTCGCTCCTATATCGAAAGCACTTCTGTCAAATATTTTCTTCTGCCATTCATGGTATCGCCTCCCCCCACCAAAAGCTCCACTAATCACGTTGCATTTGAACTCCGGTTCCACGAATTCATCCTCTTCTCTGGCCAGCTTTTTACCTCGGCCTTCCTCTTTGAATCTTTTTTCTCTTGGCGGACTCATAGGCCGGCCTCCTATTCTCTTCCTGTTGTTCTTCCATCCTTGAGTCCTTATCAGATATTCACGCGGCTTTCCGTCCTTGATATACTTTTCAATTGCATCTCTCAAATCCCAGCATTCATCAGTAGTGTGTCCAGGCCCATCATGAAATGCGCAATACCGAGATTGGCCTAAACCGGCTGGGTTCAACAAAGGTCGAGGTCTATCTACCTTCTTCATCTCTGTGGAGGCTACTTCCCTCCAGATTTGCGACTTGGATGAATTTAGAGGTGCGTACTTCTCAAATCTTCCCCTAATTGGGATTTTATCATCTTGTCTTTTACCTCGGAAATCATTTTTCTTCCGACTTCCAGGTTTCTCTATTTGACTGGGGTACTGCCTCTGATCCATATTCTCGATCTCCATCTGTTCGAGCTCCATATACTTCTTCGATCGTGCTGTGAACTCTACCAGAGTCCGAACTGGGTCTTTGTATACAGACTTAGCCAACCTAGAAGAGCCATGCAATCCTGCAATTACCAGGTGCAGATGAACGTTTTCATACAGTCCAGGGACTTGCAAAGCCGCCATTTTGAATCGATCCAAATATTTTTGCAAGGTTTCCCCAAGTTGCTGTCTTATTTTCCCCAGCGCAAACTCCGACTTCGGTTGTTTTTTGCTGGTGGAAAAATTTAACAAGAATCTTCCACCAAATTCCTCGAAAGATCTGATGGACCCCGCTGGTAATGATGAAAACCATGTTGGAGCCGCTCCTGTCAACGTAGTTGCAAAGAGTCGCGTGATCAAAGGTCCTTCTATTCCCTTGATGTACATGGCCGTGTCGAAGGCATCTAAGTGCACTTGAGGATCCTGCGTTCTGTCATATTTAAGAAGCTTTGATAAATTCAGATTTTCTGGAAAGGGTGCATACACAATCTCGTCCACGAAAGGACTATCATTGTATTGCCCCCTGTAATACTTTCTCCTGTAGACCCCAAATACGTCATCCAGGTTTCTGAACGGGTGTCTGACATCTAGAGGCTGGGGGCTCTCTCCGCCTCGTTGTACCTCCTCCACCACCCCGGCCTTCCTCAAGCTGATGTTCCTGGTTACGAACCGGGTTGGGAGTGCCCCTTTAAGGTCGGCCATCAGCATTTCTCACATGAGTCTGGGTTCGATCATTGTTCGGGATCCTCAGATCTGTCATGACCCGTGTCATAGCTTGTGTCGGATCCGGGTTAGAGACTCGCCCTAGTCGAGTTTCCAACTCTCGAATCTGCCTAGCACCTTCCACCCTTTGGAGCTCATGCCTTCTCTCCAACTCCTCCATTCTCCTAAGCACCGCAGCAACAGCCAAATCTGTCACTCGTGGATCGTTAGTTGCACCATTTAGGACCTGCATGGCATATGTAGTCTGCTCCTCCATCGGTTGTAACCCCTACACGTATGGGGCATTCAGATTAACAGCTAGAGTTGATGCCGAATCAGAATGCACATCGCTAACGTGCACAGCGTCGGTGTCTATCTGTTGATGATCCAGAGGGTCATCCCTGATCGAAGGAATAGGTTGGTGCCCGAAATTCGATCTTGAGGGCTGTCGATGCCCACTTCTTGCCCTGTCGATGCCCGTAGGTTAGATGATTGATGTTGGATCTAGTACTTTCTCTCTAGATACCTATGAGTTAGGTATCTTGGGGACAACGGATCACTACACACTATATGACGGCCTTAGCCAAAAGGGGGTGTGTGTGTGTTGTTGTGATTGCATAAAATAGGGTTAGAGAGAGACCAGTCATACCTGAGGTCCTTAGCTTCTATTTATAGTGCTTACCTTTGGGCTTGTATGATTTGGGTTTCTTATGGATGTGGGCTTCACTCAGGTTCATAACACAAGCGGTCTTGGGTTCAAGCCTTACATTAACTATATATGGATATTCCCTCCTTGAACAGGATCACCTCCCGTAGAGAATATATGTGGTTTATCAACAAAAAAAGATGATCAAAAATTTGATCTATGGGACTAAAGGAAAATCAAAACTTACATTAACTATATGTTCAAGTGGTTATAAGGGGTTTCTTCTCTTTAACCAAAGGTCTTGAGTTCAAACATAGGGAATCAGGGGTGGACCTAAGGGAGCTAGGGTTAGCTCTGCCCCTCCCTAAAATTTGAATATATATATATATATATATATATATATATATATATATATATATATATATATATATGAGAAAAATATTTCTCAAGCTGCTTGAGATATATTTATCTCCAGTCACTCCAAAACTACATAGTTTTATTTATTTATTTTCTTATATTAATTTATTCACCTTTGAATGGTTATGATTCCTTTTTTCTCTCTCTTCCTTTATCACCATTGATCAATCTTTGTACGATTGTGATTTAGTAGCCGGAGATAAAGTTATCTCAAGCAGCAAGCCCTATATATATACAAAATATCATTTTGGTAATATTAGTGGATTGTTTTTTCCTAAAAATTAACCCTTTCAAATTGAAAAATAAAAACCTCTGAAAGAAAACTCTATCCTCTTACCTGCGTGTTCGAGTGTAAATAGGTCACAAGTCTATTCTAGCAGGCATGGTGTAACACCCTCAAATTTTTAACAATTTATAATAACATAAAATTTTTAAAATCATAAGTAACTGTGAAATTTAAATTAATCAAATTTCGAAAATGTTAACGCCGCACTTGTACTATGGACAACTACAAGGCTAAATTTATTACATTAAAATAAAATCAAAGACCAAAGTTTAACTAAAGGAAATATGTCTTATGCTTTTATTAAATCTCATTAAATTTCTAAACTTTAGAACTAGCTACAAATATCTGAGTCGTTATCCTTACTGCCCACAGCTAGCCCCATCCTTTGCAACCTGTTTCACTGAAAATCTGCTCCCCCGAGGGATCATTGCAGCCAAACAACTACAAACAGAAACAGTCAGCAAAGCTGGTAATCTCAATCCAATATACAAAAAAGATAGAAGAAACGAATATCTATTGTTTCCACAAGTCCCTGGCACAACTGAGCACTCTGACTCATTTGAGCATCAAACTCGCTGCCAATGACAGCGAGTTTGGAGGCCTAAGGTTTCGTGTCACGTAGCATTTGAAACCCAATGCCACTGACAATAGATTTGCCACCATGACATTTTGGCAAAAAAGTTTGCCCCTCATGGCATATCGATAAATTTTTTTGAAATTTGTGGCAACATAGTCAACGTCCCGCTGATTTGATGGAAGAATGGGGTTTATTCAAAATCCTCTCTTAATTCTAAGAAATTGTAGCTAGAATACTCAAATCCAAATCAATTTTTTTTATATAGAAAATTAGAAACCACTCGATATTTGTAGTCCTAATGGATCCGACTAATCCAATTTTAAATTTGAGCTTCTCCACCTTTTATACGACTTTTAGGAATCAAATTCACTCCTTTGGGCAAGTCAAATCGTTGGGACGTTGCTAGAACAACAATTTTTGGACAATCATTTTAAATTTTAAGCATTGAGTTGTTGGATAGTGAAAGGGATGAACACTAAAGCACGGACACGAAAAATTTTAAAATTTTGCGTGTCGGACACGTGTCCGACACGGACACGCTCGGACACACGTCCGACACGCGGTGAACATTTGGGGACATGCGGACAACTCTCCGACACGTTCCGACACGTTTTTCGACACGCAGTCAACTTTTTTGGACACGCGGTCAACACTCGGACACGCTCGGACAATTTTTTTTTTAATCTTAATTTTATTTTATTAACTAAATATAAAAAAATAATTTATAAATTAATTTTTTTCTATTATGAAATTTGACATGAAAAATTAACAAAGTACGAATTTTTTTTTTTATATTTATGTTATGAAATTTAAATATCTGATTGGTTATATGACTTATTATAGACTCTTATTATATGTATTAAATATAAATTATATTATATATATTAAAGTTTTTATTTAATATCAAAACGTGTCCCAACGAGTCGAAATATGATATTTTTTAGAATTAACGTGTCGGCGTGTCGTGTCGTGTCGTGTCGTGTCTCGTGTCAGTGTCCGTGCATCATAGGGGATGAATGTTTTATAATTTGATAACGAAAATACAAGCATTCAATTTGTAGGGATTCTTTAAAAGAGAGAACATTAATGTCTATATTTATTAAGAGAGAGAATTTTCATTCTATTTTCAAATAAAAAAATGACACATTATTTAAAAAATGTAAGATAAATACAAAGTTGTTAATATTACGAGGAAATAGGCCACGATTTATAGTTTAGTTTATTTTTTAAAAGGACTATTTAACTAAGTAGGATTATTGACCTTTTTATTTATTATTTGGACATATAACTAAAAATTTATAATACTTATATAATTTATTAATTGAATATTAATGTAATGAATTTAATTTATGTATTAATATTTCTCTTACAAGATAGATATAACTTTATCTTCTATTTTCACATATGAAACCCATTTTTTCTCTTTCTCTTTCCTTACAGGGCCTCATTCATTTTCCGTGAGTGCAATAGACGAAGTATGAGAAATATTATTCTATTACAAGATATTGACCTTTTTATTTATTATTTGGACATATAACTAAAAATTTATAATACTTATATAATTTATTAATTGAATATTAATGTAATGAATTTAATTTATGTATTAATATTTCTCTTACAAGATAGATATAACTTTATCTTCTATTTTCACATATGAAACCCATTTTTTCTCTTTCTCTTTCCTTACAGGGCCTCATTCATTTTCCGTGAGTGCAATAGACGAAGTATGAGAAATATTATTCCCTGATTTTATATATAGCATAATAATTAAAATTTATACCTATTTTTAACAACAAAAAAATTTAAGTAGCATATTTTCACCGTTAATCAAAAGGGTTTTATTAATCTCCTTTCACATAAGATAGTTATCTTATGTTATAGAGAGAAAATGGGTGGGTCCCGCCATTATAAGAAAAAAGAAAAAGAAAAAGATGGGATACAAAAATTAAAGTGAGAGAATATGAAAGAAGTAATCTTATGTGAAATGAGAGTAATATTTCTCTAATCAAAATGCACCAAATCCGAATATTTCGTTAAAAATGTAAGTTACACCAACATAATGCTTGTTCAAAGCCAAAAAAACCCAGCCCTGAGCCCACCTCACTTTAATCTGACCCATATAGGCATGGCCCCATGGGCCTGGGCCACTCGCACACCTGTGTGAATATGGGTATATGGCAACTCTTACTGCACTAGTGGCCTGGTCAAGCTCAGGTGGGAAGTCTTGGGCTTTGCAACTGAAGAAGTTCTTTTTCCTGAAGGGCTATGGAACTAGCACTATGACTGACAGATTTCACTATTAGTATAGGTGTTTTAGACTTCAGTAGTTTTGATTTTGTTTTACAATTCCCTCTCATAGGAACTGGCATTTCATTCAAATTCAGTGTATATAACGTTTGCACCGTATGAACATTAATTAGCACATCAAAATGTCGTTTAAGTGCATTACGAAAATCATCATTTTGAGAAAAGATGCTCATGAAAGAAAAGCTGATGTTTTCTGCCATTTATTGTTTTGAGCAGTATGTTTGTTATAGTCTATTTTGTATTTTTTAAATGTATGTTGACATCAATTATTCACTATAATTTGCCCTAGATTCCTTTGTATGCTTTGACATATAACTTCTTTTTTGATTGATGCCAGCACGTTTAAACTTCAACTTGTAACATCCTATGATAATTTATCAAGTCGTGCATGTGCTACATATTTTAGAATAAAAGGGGCAATTGACCATTATTATCATCATTTATATTTTCAGTACCTAAGGGGAAAAACTAGGGAGGTGCATGGGTCGAACCGAACCGGATTTTTTGAAAAAACCGAACCGAATTGGTTTAAATGGTTCGGTTCGGTTCAAGACTGGTTCGGTTCGGAAGTGGTTCGGAACCGGTTCGGAAGTGGTTCGGGTCGACCTTCTTTGAAAAAAAAAACTAAAAATTTAAAAAATAAAGTTATAAAAATTAATTTGGTTTGATTTGAAAATGGTTCGGTTCGGTTCGGTTCGGTTCGGTTCGGAACCGGTTCGGTTATTAAACCGATTCTTAAATTGGTTCTAAAAATCGGTTCGGTTCATTTAAAAACCGGTTCGGTTCATGAACTAGTTTTTAAAAACTGGTTATTTTATGGAGCGGTTCGGTTCGGTTCATGGTTCGACTCACTTTTTTGGTTATTTTGCACACCTAGGAAAAACTATATAATTAACTATAGACAGAGAAAATGGTCATCACGTCTAAGAAGTGGATGTTCATGCTGGCATGCTACACATTCTTTACATTCTATGCCTCTTCTTTATAAGTAGTCAACACCCTTTGGCGTTCCACAAGTCCATGTCCAGTTTCTGATACACAAATTCGTATTAGCAAAAAGCATGAAAGAAGGTGATTTCCCTATAAGGATGATGAACGAACACAGGATTTCAATCATGAAGAGCTTGCAAAAAGAAAAGCAGATTATGGTTGATCCACTTTCATTACTAGATTCTCCTATTCCAACTGTTATCGCAACTTCTACAGCCACCTTTTTGCACCCTCCACCACTAAAACCTCCAAAACCAAGTTTCTTAAGCTTGAGTCTCCCAAATTCAGCCAACACATCTCCTCGGTTTGCTTCAGCCTTTTCCAAGAAGAAATCAAAAGGAGAGAGCCCGGAATCACAATGTCAAGCTAGTAACTTGACACACAAGCTTCAGCATTTGCAACAGGAATTCCACTTACACAAGAGCAAGTCATGTGGTGAAGGAAGAGCAATTGCACCCTCAGATGAATTTGATCACTGGTTGGCTGAACTAAGTGTAGTGGAACATGATAAAAGACATTATGTTCATGGCAGCTTCTCAAGAACTGAAGCTGTTAAAGAAAGTCCAAAGAGTGTTAAGTACATGAAAACACCAGATGGTGGATTCAAATGCAGTGCTCTTTGGCTTTGCTTGTATCTGCCAGGCTTTGGTGGTAAAGTAAATAAAGTTAAAACAAGAAAGGAACAATCAGAAAGGGAGGGTGTAATTTCTAGGACAGTGTCCTTGGAAAATTTTGAATGTGGTTCTTGGGCTTCTGCAGCAATGTTCCATGAAAGTGAAGGACACTCCAGTAATGCCTACTTTGATCTTCCAATAGAATTCATAAAATGCAGTGCCAGTGAAGTATGTTCTCCTGTTGCTTCATCTTTTGTCTTTGAAAAAGACCATAAAGGGGTTCTGAAAAATGGTTCCTCTAGAGCCAGTGCTAGAAAATCAGATGCATCACCTCGCCATGTTCGGTTTTCTACATCATCTTCTGTGTCTTACCCTGCCTCTCCAGCATCCTGCATCAGTCCTCGTTTGAGAAAAGCCAGAGAAGATTTTAATGCCTTCTTAGCAGCACAAAGCGCATGAGAGTGATGGAGATCGAACCTATGGAAATATGGAATGTAGATTAACAATATATAATCAGAAAACTTCATTTGTAGCTGGTTCTGTTACCTTTTTATAAACCTTCCTATGTGGCCAATGTTTGCAATGTTGTGAGTTATTGGATTGTTTATGAATTTGTGCAGAAATTTTGATGTCACCCTTCCACAAGTAAATCTATAGATTATAAGTAAATCTGAGTTTGTATACTATAAAATGTTTTTTCTTAAATGGCATTACCTTTATCTTACTTATATTTTCCCTTCTATGCAGTTGTTTTATTCGAGTAGATCATTTTTATACACATAAAAGAGAAAAATACCTATGAAATCAATCAAAATTTTATATCTTTGTACAAATAAAAAGGAAAGGGAAAAGTTGCAGTTTAGGAACCGCACAGCAACTAATTTACAATGATACATAAGTCAATGATCGAGTTGACTTTGTTTTCACACAGTATAACTCTTTAAACAAAATGTCAAAACTACGTCCCCACCTAAAAAAATTGAATTTAAAGGTAAAACATAGTTTGCTTGGCTATTTTCTGTTTTCCAACAATTTCAGACAAAAAGGCAAAATTTAGTTCAGTTGATAACCAACCACTATAATCTATATTGATTTCAAATTTGGTCATAAGAATAAATCTCAGTCATGAAGGTAGTCGAATTCTTATGCAATTTTTCACAAGCCTGAAACCAGTCAATGATCAGATAACTTTGATATTCTTTAAATGTGTCAAATATATTGCGAAGAGGGGGCGAGCTTAGAATTGTGGTAAAGCTGCTTTTTTGTTATTGAAAGATCACGAGTTTGAATCCGGAAAATAAACTATGGCAGAATACATAAACCCTACAAATAATTCCGTGATTGTATAAACTTTTCTGTTTTTCTCTTTTTTTTGCAGAAATAAAAACTTAGGATGTTGATAAGTTGTTCCACAAAGGCAAGTTGCACCACAATTAGGGAATGCTAAATGAGGGATGAGGCATCAATAGCAATAATCAAGTCCAAAACCCTTGAATGTACCAATTTAAATGCATCATTTGAGAAAGCTTGTTAGAAAAATGAGCCGGTATTTGCTCTAATAGTAATGTAATTCGAGCAGTTTTTTGTGCCTTTGTTTCACATCTTGCTAGCACCCTAGATTCTTTCATTTGTCTGCTTCCTACTATATGAGTATCTTCTCTTTGATGTCACCCACGTTACAAATTTTGTTTAATTTGTGATTTATTCTACACTTATTTAAGAATGTCGTGCATACATCATATATTCCACTACTCACAATCAATATCAATCAATATATAATTCAGAAAATACTGAGATTTCTGGTCCTTCATTGATCCCTCTCAAGTCTCAAGCATCCAAATCTCAATGCCGGCCACATTTATTGTTTATGAGAAGTCAACTGATTCTAAGAGCCAAAAGCATATTAATTAATCTAAATGCAGATACTATGGTAAAGAGTAATATCCATCCATGATAGAAAGAGAAACAACACCACTCTAAGCCTCTTTTTTCTATAAATAGTCTAGTCAGCTAGCTCTAGCTCATGGCCTCAGAGACTAGAATCACCAAATATGATTAGTAAGTTGACACACATGAATGTGAAGTAGCCAAGAAAGAATACATGCAATGGAACTGGAACATGATAACAGGCATCAAGGAAGCTTCTCCAAAACTAAAGCAATTATCAAAGACAGTGCTCCTAAGGGTGGATTCAAATGCAGTGGTGCCCTTTGCCTGAGTCTGCCATGCTTTGGTAAAGCAAAGCCAGTTAAAGCAAGAAAAGGAGGTACCCAATTGAATCATTCAGTGAATCCTGTAATGTCTAGTACATTTTCTTTGGTAAACTTTGAACTGAATTCAGGGGTTACACAAGGCATAATAGCCCGTGAAAATAATGAAGATGACTCCATCAGCTCCTACTTTGAATTGCCTTCTGTAGTGTTGAAATGCAGTGGAGATGGTGTACAATCTGCTGTTACACCAGCCTCTCTTCAACAAGGACATTAAAGAGGATCAATAGTTTTACACGGAGTGTGGATAATTTTTCCTTGTTTTGGCAATTGAATGAAAAAAATATTGAAAGCACAATAATTATGTTCTTACATTCTCATGTCTCATTTTTAACATATGATCACATTATGCAAAAAAATCTTTGTCCATTGATAGATCATCTGTCTCGAATTGAAATAATTATTTTTTTTTTAGTAAGGTAATCATTGAATCCTCGATAAAAATTACGAGACCCATTTTAATCCCATAAAAAAAAAATCCGACTTGTGGTCCTCTTAAATTCAAAATAAACCCAGTTAGTGAAATCTTTCTGAAATTCAAAGAAGACCCTCGTTAGTCCCTCAAAAGAACTAACATTGGTCTATTTTAAATTTCAGAGAGACCACAAATCAATTTTTTTTCTAAGAGATTAAATTAGCCTACGTAATATTTGTTGAGGACTCAAAAAGTACTTTACTTTTTTTTTTCATTTTACTTATAACTATTAATTTGTTAATAAATAATTGAGATTTTCCGTGTGACATGTTCATGTTAAAATGAAGCATGATTAAGATTTCGCACAATGTGATTGTTAAGAAAATAATTTTGAAGAAAATAATGATTTATTGGGTCAAACTTATTAATTAATTAGTAATTCACAATAAATTATAACCTTTGATTGATGAAAATCAACGGTTAGCATATAAAATGACACAAAATTATATTATTTAAAAGGACAAATATTTTTCCTATCAAATAATGTTTAAGCTAAAGGAAATATTAATTTTACTAGGGACTCTTTTTGTAAATAAATAATTATACGGGAGACATAATTCACTTTAAATTTAAATAAAACATAGATAATGTACCCCAAAAAAAAAAAAAAAAAAAGATAGATATAATTTTAGATGAAGGTTATACTTACAATCTTTTTTTTACAACCTCTTACAATCAATCATATATTAACATCGTTGATTTCCGCAATCAACGGTTATCATTTATTGTGAATTAATAATTAATTAATGCGTTTAATTTGGAAAATAATAACCGTTGATTGGCGGAAATCAACGGTGTTAAGATATGATTGTAAGAAGTTGTAAAAAAAAAGGTTGTAAGTATAACTTTCCTCATAATTTTATTTGTTTACCTTAGAAGAACTTCTTATTTTGGCCTATTGCTAGTGTAAATTTTCTTACAATATAATTTAGTTATTTATATATTAATACATAATTAAATATACTAATACTCGATTGTAAGATGGAATAAAAGGTTTTACACTAAAAGTATAGATCAAAATTAAATTTAATTTAACTAACATATGTACTTAGTTCAATCTAATTTTGACATTTCTTTTACCATGTTGATTTTTTATTTTTATTTTTATTTTAAATTTTTTTGGGGGGGTCTACTTAAAAGAGCTGCAGAGGCTCAAAGAAACACATGGGCCTTACTCAAAAGTTGCAACACTTCAGTAAAGAAGCAACAACACTCACTGAGACTGTAGAAAAGCCTCACCTTAAAGTATTTGAACAAACAAATCTATCAGGAGATTCTTCTTCTACAATGATGACTAGAGATAAGGTGAGCAAGAGACAAAGGATGTGAGCTAGTCCAGCTGTGAGAACGGCCATTTATTGCGGCTATGTTAACAACCTCATGGGCACCCTCATTCCCTTCACGTTTAAATGAGATTTTGAGTTTGAGTTTGAATATAAAATTTGCTACCATTAGTTGTCATCATGTTATTTTTGCAGCACATATTTGTCACTTCAAAGTTTCAAACAAATTCTAAAATGGGCTTCTCATTTATAGTCCGAAGTCTTGTTAGCATAGTGCAAATCCAGGCCTCATTTCTAACTTGGACACTATTAGTAGAACAAATACAAACATCCTATGACCCAAAAGAAAGTTTGAACACACAAATTTTTGTTTTATTTGGAACCTAACCAAATAGAAACAGCAAAGCCTGAAAAAATAACTTTCGAATTAATTCCAATCTATTATTAATAACAATCCCGGCTTAACTTACCTGTTATGACTCATGATTACTGCTCAACTAAGAAACATTTGACCTTGTTCTCTTGAAAACATTATGAGGATTGGTTAGATATTCAACTTCCATAAAATAAGCGATTCATGTTATCAAAAAAAAAAATAAGCGATTCAAACAAGGGGATCGAAAGAAAAAGAAGAACCACCCTGCTAATGAATATAAAAGCCAACCTCCTCTTCTATTATTGTGGCTGCCAAGGATATTGTTATGGTAAAATACGAACACTACAACAGACAAAATAGAAAAAGAAAGGATTATATATCTGGTTGGCCATTGGAATTATTCATTCGATTAATCAACAGAAAGCAGTGTTATTGGCATCAATTTGTCTACATGTCTCTTGATGAATTATGTTTTATTTTTCAAAATGATGTTGGACCTATTTGATTTCCAAAACCAATAGAATTTTTTTTTTTTTTTGGAAATATTCCACTCGGTTCATTGCTTCACAACTAATCCGATTCGGGGCGGATCCAGGATTAAGGCTTTAAACCCCTTCCAAATGTATTTTATATATATATATATATATATATATATATATATATATATATATATAAGCAGCAAGTTTTTAATAGTCCTATTTTCTTTGCTTAAGGTAGTTGGTAATATCACCCTTTGAAGATTCCCACAAGGGAGGGTCATCAATTGAATCGTTCCATTTATATATTTTTTACTTAATTAATTTTTATACATGGTGAAATTGTTGAGTCCGAACATGCACACACAAACAATTGCAAATAAATATGAGAGAAAGAAAAGAAAAAGAGAGACGCAGATTATCCTGGTTCATTCATATGGATTATGTCAAGTAATGTAATATATTCTTCTAATTGTAATTAATTTATAAGGAGAATATAAATAAATTTATAAACTCTAAATAATAATAGTTATTCATGAATCAAAATTCAAAACTATTAAAAAAAATTCTAACTATAAA